ACATGATAACTCTTTAATAAGCATCTCTTGAAGACATAAAGGAATGAACTCCAATTTTCAATATCTGTAATTTATCAAAAAAAGTTCACATATTTCTGTGGAAATTTTCAATGAAAAGGAACAAAGTTATCCAGGATATCAGAATATATCCAGAATATATGTTTTTAAATGGGCTTGAGATCAGCAATTAGAACTTAATATGAATTCAAAAAAGCACAGTAGCAAGAGACAAGTTGATCCTGGCTTCCGAAAATCAATAAAGGTGAGTATGAAGTTTAAGAATCATTGCCTCGAAAGCCGCAATTAAGCAAATTAACCCCAGGTACAATTAAAAAGATTTGTGGCTTTTGGTCTATCTGCCATTACGACATTAGAGTTAAGAAGGAATTTATTGCCATTAAACACACAGCATTAGCAACAGAAAAGGTGAAACAGCCCAGGGATCATCTCGTATCTTATCTTCTATTTCTCTTTAAAAAATATACCCTTTTACTGAATCCTTGTTCCCTTTATATATGTTATATAGTAGAATTCCCTGAAAGATGCATAACTTTAGAACTCTCTACCTTGTATGGAGTTCTTAAAGAAGATCAACAGTACATACCATAATGTATATCCTACAACAGTGTATATTACTGATCTAAAGGCCTATTTGCCATGTAGTATGGGCTTTGGCTCCCAAATGAAAGTTGATAAAAATCTTCTGACCATAGAGCATCTTTTCCCAGTTTCCATGTATCCACATTCTTTCCACATTCCGAAGGCCTCCCCTGACCACACCCATCCACAGTGGCAGCTCCCACCTCCAACTCTCCTGACTCGGCTGGTTCAAAATTGTTTCTTACCACTTGCTGAGCCAAATATAACAAGCACTTTGGGTAAACAAACATTTATTCAGTCTTGCAATGGTGTCATCAGAAAAAGCTTGGAACAAGCACAGTTGTGCAAGAATGTTTATTATCTGTATTGCCTAGGAAAAGGGACAAATAGGGGCTGAAGTTCATCCAGCTCAATTTGCCAGTTAGGTGCTTCCTAAACCATGTGTTCATGGGGCTGCATATGTACAACTGAGTTACTTTCTAATTCAAGTAAAAATGTACCACGTGGGGTGTATGGGTGTCTCAGTCAGTTAAGTGTCCTACTCTTGATTTCAGCTCAGGTCTTCATCTTGGGGTTGTGAGTTTAAGCCCTGCATTGGGCTCTAACCCAGGCATGAAGCCTACTTAAAAAAAAAAAAAAAAAAAAATTGTGCCATGTGGATTAATGCTGACCTTGATCATCATCTTAAGAACAAAATTCTTCAACTCTCCTAAGACCTGTAGAACAAGGACATGGTCTCTCCTCTCAGACGAAAGGTTTTTTTTTTGTTTTGTTTTTCGTTTTTTTTGTTTTTTTCATTTAAAAGAGATGGAAATCACAGGATATCAGTGGTCAGAGACTGGTCCAAAGGGCTTTTATGGTCCCTTCATTCCCAAATAGATTCCCACCACTGCATACTTCTCCTCAACAAATTTGTCACTCCACAGGGACCCAGGGTTCTACATGAAAGCCTCAACCTCACTCCAACAGAGTTGTCTGCTACTGCCTCACACATAATAAATTATCAATAAATATCTGCTGAGGAATGATTGAACAATGAAAGAATGAATGAATGAATCAATGAATCAATCAATCAATCAATCAATTTTCCAGCCTTGCTAAATGCTGCCAATATCTTTATGAAGCAGGTGAGCAAGGCAGATGAATGGCAGATCATTCATTTTATATCAATCATGCTAATAAATGCTTTGTCTCAACTTCCTGTGATTGACAATAACACTCTAAGACATGAATTCCATCTAGCCTGGGTACCTATGAAGTCTCTGTAAAATAGAGAATTTGATTTATGAGGGTTGCCTGCAATTATAATCAGGCTGAAAATGTTGAGAAGTATGAAATATGCACTACATTTCTGGTCCATGAAATTCCACAGAAGCTTGGAATGAAGAGCATTATTCAAAGATAACAGTCGCCTTGTAATGATGTATTACATTGGCTGGACTGGACCTGTGAATTTTCTATCAATGAATCCACTTAGCTCAACTTAATTCAAACTGTCCAGCAAATTGAATACGCTGCTGAAGGAGGGGAGAGAAAAGGAATTAATGGTCCTAATCAAATCTTCAAAGACCTAAAATAGCCTAGCTGAGTGCCCAAGACATACCTTTGACACTGGAACTGTCAAATGCAGGACTGCCCAACGTAGGACTGGGCAATGAGAGTGGGGTTTCCCCTCAGACAAGTTGGAGGGCCAAAGCATCAGAGACGGAAAATCCAAGTGGTCAAATGCAAAAGAACAAACCCATGAGGCAGTATGAAACAAAACCAACAGGAACCAATAACTTAAAGCCTTCATTATAATCTTCCTTCAGGTAAAAGAGAATACATCTGGAATGAAAATAAAGATAAGTGTTGTCAGCAGACAAAGAGAAGCTCATAAAACAAGTCAAATAGAAATTTGAGAAAGAAAAAAAAAAGTGCCTAAAAGAAAAAAATCTACTAGGTAGCCTCAATAACCATGTAGATGACAGAGAGAAGAATCAGTTAATTTGAAAATAGATTAATAGAAATGATCCAATCTGAAGAATAGACAGAAAAAGGATTAAAACATAAACAGTCACAGAGACCCATGGGACAATATCAATCTCATTGGAGTCCCTAAAGAAGAGGAGGAAGATATTGTGACAGACAAAATATTTGAAGAAATAAGGACTAAAAATAAAGACATATATTTATAAATTTAAAAAGTCTGATTAGCCCCAAAATAAACTCAAAGAACACCATGCTTATACACATCAAAACCAAACTGCTAAAGAACAAAGATAAAGAAGAACAAAGATAAAGAAAAGTCTTGAAAGCAGCCACAACAAAATGAAACATTACATAAAGGGGAACAACAATTCAAATACTACAGTTACTAGAGAATACTAAAGTTCCTCATCAGAAATTATAAAGGCCGTGGAGCAAAATCTTTAAAGTGCTAAAAGAAATGTCAACTAAAAATTCTATAATCAGGGATAATACCCTCCAGGAATTAAAGTAACATAAGGTTATTCTTGATGAAGAAAAACAGAGAATTCATTGCCAATGATATCCACTGTAAGAGAAATTGCTAAAGGAATTAAGGCTGAAGGAAAATGTTCCCAAAGGGAAACCTGGAATGAAAAAAACAAAAACAATAGAAATGATAAATGTCTGATTAAATGATATTTTTCTACTTTAAGTTCTCTAAAATATGTATAAGTGTTGAAAGCACAAATTCAAGATTGTCTGAGAAGGTGTAAATGTGATACATATGACAACTATAAGATAAAGGGGGCAGTAAAGTGATCTATATGGTTACAAGCCCTGCATTTTATCTCAAGCTACAAAACATCATCTCTAAGTAGACTGAAAACTTAGTCATGTATAGCATAATCCCTGTAGCAACTGCTGAAAAATAATACAAGCAGATACAGCCAAAAGCTAGCAGATAATTTAAAATGGAACATCAAAAAATATGCAAAGGAACGCAGGAAGAGGTAACAGAAGAACAAAAAAACCAGGAGACAAATAGAAAAATAACAAAATGGTAGGCCTAATTCAACCATACTGGTTATCATGTTAACTGTAAATGATTCAAATACACCATTAAAAAAAAACAAAGATTGTCAGATTGGATTTAAATTTAAAAACTGACTATATTCTACCTACAAGAAACCTTTATTTTTTTTTATTTAAAAAATATTTTTTTAATGTTTATTTATTTTTGAGAGAGACAGAGACAGAATGTGAGTGAGCTAGGGGCAGAGAGAGAGAGGGAGACACAGAATCCAAAGTAGGCTCCAGGCTCCGAGCTGTCAGCACAGAGCCCAACGCAGGGATTGAACTCATGAGCTGTGAGATCATGACCTGAGCTGAAGTCAGACGCTCAACCGACTGAGCCACCCAGGCACCCCAAGATTCCTACTTTAACTATGATGGTATACATACATTAAAAGGATGAAAATAAATCACATAAACCCCAATCAAAATAAAGCTGTATTGTCTATATTAGTATCAAATAAATTAGATTTCAGATCAAGGAAAATTATTTATCAGGGATAAAAAGAGACAATACATGATAAAAAGTTCTGTTCATGAAGGAAACATAAAATCACCAATTTGTATGCATCTAACAAAAGAGGATGAAGTAGAAACTGATAAGACTAAGTGGAGAAAGAGACAAGTTCACAAATATACTTTGTTACATCAACATTCTTCTCTAATCTACAGAACAAGTAGACAGTAAATCAGTAAGTGTCATTTAAAGAATATCTACCTGATGGGGTGCCTGGGTGGCTCAGTTGGTTGAATGTCTGACTTCAGTTCAGGTCACAGTCTCAAAGTTCATGAGTTCCAGCCCCTCATCAGACTCACTGGTGCCAGCACCAAGGTAGCTTCAAATCCTCTATCCCCCTCTCTCTTCCCCTCCCCGACTCATGTTCTCTCTCTCTCAAAAATGAATAAATGTTAAAAAAATAATAATAAGAGAGAGAGAGAGATCTACCTGACAACAATGCCTTTTCTAAGACATGTGGAACATTCACCAAGATAGACCATATGCTGGGCCACAAAACAAACTTCTTTAAAACAAATTTAACAGCATTGAATTAGCACAAAGTACACTCTTGGACCATAATTAAATGAAACTCCATGGTACGTGTTCTTTTTTTTTTTTTTTTTTAGTTTAATTTTTTATTCTGAGAGAGAGAGAGCACACAGGAGGGACAGAGAGAGGGAGAGAAAGAATCTCAAGCAGGCTCTGCACTCTCAGTGCCAAGCCCCATTGCGGAGCTCAAATTCATGAACTGTGAGATCATGACCTGAGATAATGTCAAGGGTCAGACGCTTAACCAACTGAGCCACCCACATCACCCATCACATGTTCTTCACTGGCTCTCAGAGTTGTCTGAGTTGATTAATTTGCCTAATTAACTGACCTTTTATTGGCAGCTTTTGCTTTCCTGTCTTCACTCCTCCCACACAAATGTTTCCTGGGATGATTTCCAAATAAACTCCTTTCTGGAAGTCTGTTTCATGAAGCCCAAGCTAACACAGCTGTATGCACAATTAATTCTCATTATTTGTTCAAGTGAGATTTTCTAAAGTCACTGCAAACACTGAATTAGCGAATACTGAACCCTGTTAGCTCCAAGGGAAAATACAGTTAGGATCCTGTGAGCCTCTGGTCACATTTTCATCAACGAATCAATACATAACCTTGTTTTATGTGTATTTCTGTTTAAAGACAACTTATTTAATACACACTGAAATTTCATTAAGATTGAACTCATGCCAGAGTGCCTGGATAGCTCAGTCGATTAAGCGTCCCTTGGTTTCAACTCATGTCATGATCTCACGGTTCGTGGGATGGAGCCTTGAGTTGGGCTCCATGCTGACAGCATGAAGCCTGCTTAGGATTCTCTCTCTCTCTCTCTCTCTCTCTCTCTCTCTCTCTCTGCCCCTCCCCTGCTTGCTCTGTCTCTCTCTCTCTCTCTCTCTCTCTCTCTCTCTCTCAAAATAAATAAATAAAGTTTTAAAAAAGATTTAACTCATGTGAATAGCACTATAACTCATGTCTAAGTGAAGCTGATTTAGAACACATTTTCTCTATAAGACACATCACAGCTTTCTTGCACTTAGGTACACTAGACAGCACTTCATCACTATACTTGGAGGCATTTTAAACAGCAAATTTCCACCACCACCACCAATAAAGAAAACCACATGCCCACACACAAATGTGGAAAACATGATACAAAATAGACCATGAAAAGGACACTTGTTTGCAGTATGAGAGCTGGAACAAGACAGCAGATCATTGCCTGGTTTACCCCTCAGCTGGGAACATGCATGTACTGAAACTCAAATGTTTTGATGCTCTCTCTACACGTGTCAATGAAATAGACATATAACTATGAAAGCCCCAGGAGTACTGATTTGGAGGTTTCAAATAAATTTTGTAGCGAGTGAGTGAGTTCTCAAATATAGAATTTGAGAATAATGAGGATTGACTGTGTCTTTTTAAAGTTTTCATTCAGTGACTTATGGATAGAAATCTTAATTCACTTCTTTTTTATACAGAAAGGAGAGGCCATATCACCTTTGCTAGTCAACAAGGATGTCATCTGCTTCCCCAACCGTGGATGTCATTCTCTGACCTCTTTCTAAGCCCTGGAATCAATGTAAATTATTTAATGTTGTACTGAATACATAGCTTATGATTCTTTTTGTGACCCTCCTGGCTCATTTTTTATCGTGGCCATTGTTCCTGTTCTTTTTTATGCATTTGGACAGGTTGTAAGTTAAGCTTTGGTGTGAACAAGAAAAATTGGAATTATTCTGGAAACAACAGCCACTTCTTACACAGTAATATGTATCAGTTCCAATCATTCTCAGAGCAGGATATCTGAGGGAGATTTCTTTGCTAGAGAAAAAGGGTTGAAAGGTAATCCTCAAACAAAAGGTTGGGTTTATGTTTGTGCAATACACACACCCAGACCCACACCCACCCACCCACACACAATGTGGATAAAATAGCCATGGATGGATGAATGAATGAATCATTCAAGTATAAGGAACTCAGGCACAGGTGATACAGTGAGTCAAATGTTTACTTCTGAAATGTCTTTCTTCTCTAAATTATAATAATTGAAATAGAAATGAAAATAGAAATAGAAATAACATGCAAAAACATGTAAGATTCCAGAATATTATTTTTAATATATTTTAATATATTTATATTTTAATCATGTATAAGACAGTTTAGAAAGATGATACAAAGCCTACATAGAAAAAAAGATTTAGTAAAGAAAACATAATAGCAGCATAGGTTTAACTGGTCTCAAGCAATGCTATAGAACTCAAGCCAAGAAATAGCTTTGATATGGAGTACAGAACATGGACTAATAATCTTTAATGACTAATTGAAGATAATATATTACCACATCCCAGAAATTTATAGATTTAAATACCATAGTTTCCTTAATCCCACTTTTTCTAGTTTTGTTTATTTTTATTTGAGAGAGAGAGAGAGAATGAGGAGGGGAGAGGAGCAAGGGGGAGGCGGAGAATCTTAAGCAGGCTCCATGCTTAGCTCAGAGCACCCATGTGGGGCTTGATCCAGCAACCCTGTAATCATAACCTGAGCTGAAATCAAGAGTCAAGAGTTGGACGCTCAAATGACTGAGCCACCCAGGTGCCCCTAGTTTGTTTTAACACAGGAAACTGGCAACAGTTAACTTCCCTCTCCTTAAACTACCACTAGCTGAAAAAGAAATAGTTCAAAGCACAAAAACATTGATGTTAATTCCTTCTGAAACTTCATAAAAACGTAGCAATTTACTCATAGCTTATTATCAAACATGGAAAAATATGGCCTAGATAGACATTTTCAATAGCCCATCATTCAATACACACTTACAGTCTATTTTGTGTCAAGCAGTGTGTTAGGAGGTGGGGCCTGGGGTTTACTGTAAGTGTGGAATTCTCAGTGTGTGCCTGTGGGTGAGTGAGGAGACAGATCACTAACCAGACATATACAGTGACACAGATGCTATGAGAAAGAGAAGACAGGGGGGATTATAGGAGCTCAGAAGAAAGAAATATACCTGATGGCGGGGGGAGGTCAGAGGAGACTTTCTGGATAAGATGAGAATATGAAGACTCAGAGAAACAGAGCATCCCAAGTTCATCTGCAATGGAAGATTCAAGTATAGGGTCGGTGAGAGATAAACTAAACTGGTAGGCAAGGGCCAAATCTTGAGGGCCTTTAAGTTAGACTAAGAAGTTTGAATTTTTTCAGAAGACAATGGGGACCCACCAGAAGATTTTCAATTATGGGGAGAGATTGGGGAGAATTATGAGTGTAGCGTCAGGTTTACAATTTAGGGAAACCAGTTAGGAAGCAGATAGACAATGGGCTGCAGATGTGGGGCTGAAGTCAGCAAAACTGGTAAGTGGCTATTATGGTAACGTAACTAATGATAATCCAAAAACCAGTAGTCACACACCATGACGGTCTATGTTAAGACAGTGGTAGAGGGGAAAAGGAAAGAAGTGAAGAAATATTTAGAAGTCAGAGTCACTAGGACGTAGAAACTGATAAAAGTGAGGTGTCAGTGAGACAGAGAGATTCCAAGATGCTTCCAGGCTCCTAGCATGCACTGTTAATTGGACAATAGTTCCCAAATAGCTCATCATGACTGAATGGGACAGACTTCTTGTATGTCATAACAGTATCTGATGTTTTGAAAATCAGAAATAAAAATAATCATTATGACTGATAGAAGACACACAATTGGTAGATGTTACTCTGCAATTCTAAAAAAGTAAATATTAAAAAAAAAGTAAATATTTTTAAGATAAAAATTTCCTACCACTGAGCACAACAGTGTGAAGTGGGCATCCTGGCTCCGAAGCGTCATTACAGCAGAAGACAGTGGGCACCTGTGACCTCCAGGAGAGTCTGGGATTCTCCGTACACAGAACAGCATCAAATTCCCTTCCAGGCAGACCTTTCCCCCCTGCAATCAATACTCTAAAATGGGATCCAATCAGATAGGACATTCCCCTTCCAAGGCCTTCAGAAGCACCAGGGGAACCTGATCATATACTAGAGATTAGAACTTTGTGAGGTCTTGACTGGGCTTCTGCATTGCTTACTCTTATCTAGACTCATTACACCCTGAGGATGTAGCGGGAGTGTATTATTGCACTAAGAACTGATAACCAGACATACCAGTGATATCTTCAGTGGCTCTCCAAAGCTCTCAACACAAAATCCAAACAGCTTAGCGTGTATACAATGGTCCTCACCCTCAGGTGGAGCTTCTAACCAACTCACAGTTGTTCCCTTTAGCTGAGAACTGGTCTTTTTACCCACAAGGCCATCATAACCATGTTTAAATGGCATGGCCTGAACTTCTGGTAACAATTTGATAGACCAAAGGTGGATCCAAGATGTCAGGAATGTCTATTTTCTCAATTATCTCCCCTCACTCATTCACTGGCATATAGTGGTCTTTAGTAAATACAACCAGCGGAGATGCAAACTATCTGAATAACAGTAAAAAAAAAAAAATACACTCCAGAGTTTATGGTTTTATTGCTCTGTAAGACATTAACCAACTTTGTATTGTCTACTCTAGCATTCTTTTTTATAGTAATGATATAAACCAGCCTTTCAAATTCTATCTTACCATCCTGTTAGTTCCCTAATTAATGAGTTAAGTAAGCCTCTCACCAATGCTCCCTCTATATTTTTAAAATTATACTTTGGCAAGGATAATTTCCCACATCCCGCTTTTCTGTTGAAATATAGGAGGCATAATCCAAATATGTTCACCACTAAAGGACTTTTTCAAAATACTAATATTTCGGAGAAGTGTTTCATCTTCTGGAGTCCAGAGAATCTCCCAGTATTTTTGCAATTTTCAACTAGTGTATTTTCACTGCCTAAGAGGGTCACTTAACTCAGTCCATGACAGGACCAATGCCTTTGAGAAACAGCTCAGCCTACCAACCATAACTTTGTACTGTCTGAAGTTTTAGGAGAAGTCCAAATTGTTCTACCTGGCCTTCAGTCTTGCTCCCAGCTGAACTACTACCCATATCTGCCTGATGAGGCACAAATACTAAAGGACCATCAGCGTGGAATAATAAAATTACTTGGGACTTCAACTCTGGGCTTTGAGTTGAAACATTCTAATCACTTCCAAGTCACAGGTCTTTGGGCAAGCCACCTAATTACTCTTTCTTGACCTCAATTTCCACAACAGCAAAATGGGGAAACACCATTTTTCTTGTGTGATTACAGAAAGAATTACAACTACCGTGTCTCACTATATATAGGTAATCCAGGCCTACTTGGATGTTACACCTTGAGCACTATAAATAAAATTTAAACAGTAAATTTGAAGAGCTAACTGGCTTTATGAAATGATTCATGAATCAGGCATGCTGTTGAGCTGTAGAAAAGGCAGAGAGGGAGCAGAAAGAAGGCAATGATTAGCAAACAATGCATCATTTTAGGCAAGGTCAACCTCCTAATAGGAACAGAAGAAGTCATCAGTAAATTTCCTACTGTTGATCAGGAAATTCCCTATTGACAGTTACAAAGTAGGAGGGGCAGTGTATGAAACTGCAATCAGGTTAATTTATTAAGTCTTAGTTTGCTGACTCTGGGCCCTTAACATAAGTGACTCCATTCTGGACCTGTGGTTTTCTTTTTAACCCCATTTAAAACAGTGAGTTTTGTTGTCCTCCTGTGACTGGAGGAGCTGACTGCCAAAGGTCCTTTCAATTCTTAAGAATTCTTTCCCAAAGCCGCACCTGGGTGGCACAGTCAGTTAATCGCCTCTTAATTTCGGCTCAGGTCATGATCTCATGATTAGTGGATTCAAGCCCTGAATAGGGCTCTCTGCTGACAGTGTAGAGCCTGCTTGGGATTCTCACTCACTCTCTCTCTCTCTCTCTCTCTCTCTCTCTCTCTCTCTCTCTGCCCCTCCTTGCTTGTGTGCTCTCTCTCAAAATAAATAAACATAAAAAAAAAAAAATCTTTCCCAAAGAAAATACTTTGTTAAACGCTTCGGCAAAACTAACAACTATCCAGTTACTGATGTGAAAAGATGGGTTTAAAATAGTCAGCAACTTCTGATGCCCAGGTGTTCTACCAGGTCTGTAAACCTTTCATCTTTTGCAGTAAATAAGGCGTGTTGTTTTTTTTTTTTTTTAAAACACACCCTCATTATTTTCCTTCCTTAACGCACGGCCCATCCTAGGTAGCTGGGCGGTAGAGGGAAGCGACCACCCCTCCTCGGGCCCTCTAGTAGGTAGCCCAAACTTTGGCAGAGTTCCAGTGTACCCATTACACCTTCGCACCTCCTAACGCACCTCCTGGAGCTCGGACAGCCTGAGTCTCCCGCTCCATTTGTCGGCTTCCCGCCAGCCGTTGCCCCAGCGCCCCAACTCCCCTCTCCCTCCTCCGCCTCCGCCCGCCTCCCCGCAACTCCCCAAGCCTCCGCAGCACCATCGGGCGCTGTACCTCCCCCACTCACTTCCAGCCCCGCCCCGCCTCCCCGCGCGTTGGCCCCGCCCCACACGCCGTCTCGCCCGCTTTGACCTATCGGGTCCCCGCCTCTTCCCCGCCCCGTGCCCGCCCCCGCGCATCGTTCCCCCAGCGCGCGGGCCCCGCCCCCGTCCCTGATTGGTCCTGGCATTCCGTTCACGCCCATACCTTCGGGGTAGCCATGGCTGGCGCAGCGGGTAGAGTCGTCCGGCGCTGGAACCCTCAAGTGCTGAGGAGGTAAGTGCTGAGCCAGGGGTCCAGGGTCGCCCTTGCGACGCCGCCGTCCCGGGGGAGTCGCCGCCTGTGGGAGGTGCCCTCTCTCTTAACTTGTCCTGAGAGCAACAGGGCTATGCTTTTATGGTTTTTCAGGAACACAGTGCCAGCAAGTATCCTGAAACGCGCGCCCTCTTCCTCAGCTGGACGCGAAAGAGTCGGGGTGGAAGCCGCTGGGCCTAAGCTGCGACTCTGCTCAGCGCGCGCCTCGGGCCACACTCCCTGCAGGAGTGCGTAGCACTCAAATCTCCGACCTGTACGCCGCCACCCTGGCTGCTTCTGTGTTACAAACGTAGTTTGCTAAAATGAGGTCGAACATCTAAGCACGCTTGGCTTTTCTGCTGAACGCTGTAGAAACGCAAACCCTTATCAACTATTCTCTTCTTGGAGAATAATGTTAAATGGCGGGGTACACAAACTATGTAAAAACTAAAAAAGGTGGGGGGTGCGCCCGCTATGCAGGCGGTAAAGCACGTGACTCTTGACCACGGGTTGTGGATTTGAGCCCCATCTTGGGGGGAGAGTTTACTTAAAAAAAAGTCTTAAATGGCACACACAAAAAGGACGCTATGCGTAAGAAACCAGAAACGCCGGTAATGTGGTGGTTGCCTTAATGTGATAGAGTTAACGATTTTCCTGATTCTGTATATTAAATGGTAGTGTTTTGTAATTTTTTTTAACTTTAGCTTAAAATAAATGTGTACTATATTTTGTGAACACTTGCACATTTATTTAGGCCTTCTAATGGACATTTTGTTTTCCTTTCATTTTGTTTGGAACTTGACGGGTGCCAGATTCACGTAGGATGCAGTTTTTTCCCCCATGTTGGAAAGAAACTAATTCAATTATTTAATATAAAAATTGTTGAAGACTTATTGAATTACTAATATTTAAGGGTTTGAACATAGTGTTCATTATACTCTTTGAAAGTTGTGTTATTGCAGAAGAAGTGATACTAGGTTTGGGCTCCATTAATAATTGTGTTTTAATCTTTGATCCCATTAACTTGAACTTTATATGCCAGAGTCGTCATTGTGAACACCCTTTTTGTTTGTTTGTTTTTTTGCTTGTTGCCTTAATACTGTGCACTGAAATTTTCTCCTCCCCTCTGCCTGCTAAAAACTTACCTGTTTGTGCTTGCTGTTTCTGCTCTGCTTCTAGCTGGCTCCTTAAACTTCCTGGGGTGAGTATTTAGTTATACCTGTTCAGCCCAGTTTCACAGACTAGCATCCACATCAGTTAGATTTCCCCTAGGTGGGTCCCTTACTTCACTAAGAAGTGGCTGGCTCTTTGGATGCCAGCAACAGCTCATTTGTCTTTTTGAACATTTCTTGTACTTTAGCTCATTCTCCCCTCCTTTCATCTGAGACACACATTTTGCTGAATAGGAAGAATTGACCTTGTAGTAGTTTATACTTTGTTAATCAGTAAGGGCAGACAGGGTTTCTGGCGCACAGGGTGCAAAAGACCAGGTTCTGTTCACTTGACCTGTTCTGACTCAGTCTCCTGATTACTTTCATTTTGCATGCCTTTCATTTACTTCTTGCCAGTGGCAAAATTTTGTGGCAGTTCAGGTTCTAGCTGTTCTTATCAGTATTTAATTTGAATTGCTACAAATGCATTGCTGTATTGTAGCTTCCTTTTCGTTTACTTGAAGATGACTACAGTTAGTCTCTGTATTGATTTTTAGAAATCACTGTTAGGGAAGAAGAAATTTATTTTGCCCTTCAAGATCTTTCTAGCTGGACCAAGAATCAAATGGACATACGACAGATTCACAGAAAACCAAATTTAGTTTCATACATATGGGGAATACATGACATGAATTTCCAAAAATAGGCAGCATGAGGCTTGTATGACTTGTATCTTGAAGCTTCCATTCTGAGCTAAGGAGAAGGGGTATGGGTTTGAGGATACAAAGGGGAAGAAGACCAGTAGCAGGAAGGTGAGAGAATGTTGGCAAAACAAAGGTGGTCCTGTTAGGTAAAGTTTGTTAGATAAAGAGGAATCTCTGTTAGTGGCTTTCTTCCTCCAACCGCTCTTCTTTCCAGTGTAAACTCAGGCAGTTGGTGGGGAGGCAGAGAGATTTTCCTACATCTGCTGGCTTTGCTTGCTTTTTACTCAAAATATTGTTCATGCCAAAGTGGCCCATCTCGGGGATGCCTGCCCTTGGCCCCTACACCACTAACCATTTGCAACCAACTTGTATAGGGCAGGTATAGGGAACATGTTTAAGGAGAAATATAGCATTTTGGTATGTAACAGTTGGGAACAATTAGAAATCAGTGTGCCTGTTTGTAGTTCCCTGCAGGTCCCAGCACTTCAGCTGCACGTGAGTAAAACAGCAATGAGAGCCAGTCAGAAGGACTTTGAAAGTGCACTGAGTCAGGTGAAACTCTTGAAGGATCCAGGAAATGAAGTGAAGCTAAAACTCTATGCGCTGTATAAGCAGGTAACTGCCTGAGGTCTCATATCATTTAGAGACGTTTTGAGCAGATGGCTCTCAAATAGATACGCTGTGTGTTTTACTAAAATCTGTTTCTCATGTTTTTGAGGTTGCTGCCTTGCCTCTCAAACCTATATACATGAGAGTTTTTGTATATTACTGGTCTTTGCAGTACTGTTAAGGCAAAAAGTAACCCCTCAGGATCACTCCAGAGTAAGAGAGACTTAAAAAAGATGACAACCAAAGGTGTTGACTTCATCTGGCTGAGAAAATACCCACAGCGGGGGGTTGGGGGGGGGGAGTTTTTTTGAGACTACTGGGGAAATTTGAATATGGATAGAATATTGGGTGATACCTGGGAGTTATTACTAAGGGCATCATGGCTATATAATAAAATGTTGATGTGTTTTAGGAATGCACGCTAAGTATGTAGGAGTGAAGTAGTATGTGTTTGGGAATCACTAAAATGGGCAAAAAAAAAAAAAAAAAGGGAAAGAAAAGGATGGACAAAGCAAGTATAACCAAAAAATGCTAGTTATTGAGTTAGGTTGAGTATTGGGAATTCATTAGAATATTGTACTTTAGTGTATGTTTTATTTTTTTTTAATGTTTATTTAGAGAGTGCGTGCATGTGCGCAGGGTGGGGGTGGGGGGCAGACAGAGGAAGACCAAGGATTTGAAGCAGGCTCCACACTGTTGAGTGCAGAGCCTGATGTATGGCTCAAACTCATGACCCTAAGATCATGACCTGAGCTGAAACCCAAGAGTCCATTGCCTAACCGGCTGAGTTACCTCGGCGCCCCTGTTTGAAAATTTTTATAACAAAAATTTTAAACTTCAGTTTTTAAGTTGTGATGTCTAAAGACTACCTTGAGAAGTCAGCTCATCTGAGCTCCTGGGTGTGATCTATTTTCCTCTTCCTGTGATTGGTATGAGCCTCCCTTACTTTCATATGGGTGTGTATAGTGAAGAATTTGACTTAGCTCAGAAAGAGGTGTAGACTTTGCCCTTGATTTCTGGGAGGTAATCCCTCAGCCCTTGAGATACCATGCCTGGTACAGAGTATCTTTGCCTGCCTGGAGAGTCTAACAATGTGATTTAGAGTGGGGGCTTCTGGTTACTTAGTCAACCATACCCATGTGATGGAGCCCCAAATGAAAATTTTGAACACTGAGTCTTGAGTGAGCCTCCCTGGTGAGCAGTACTCCACGTGTGTAGTCAGACACGTGTTGTGGGAGAAGTGTTGCTATCCTAACTCCACGGTGGGTATGGGGAAGGAGGCTTGTTAAGTGTGTTGCCTCCAGCTTCTCAGGTATCCACCCCTTGCAGGGTGACTCTAGTCTCTCTGTCTTGGGAAAGTCTCAGACTCTTTTACTGCCTTTGTTTTTCAAAGCCTCTTCTTTCCTCTTTTGGCTGATTATGGAATTTAAAGTTTTTAAATGTGGCTAATTAAGTGGAAAGCAGTTGCTTGGGATATTTTATTCATCTTAAAACACTCCACCTGTTCTCAAGTAAAATTTAGTTGTTTTTATGCTTCCTACTTGCATGCCCTTCAGTTCAGCTTCCAAAGGGCGAGTGGCTCTGACAGCCCCCCATCCCTGCTACCCTAGGCACAACTCTAGTTAGCAAAAATCCACCACTGAATGAGTGGTATGTTTTTGTACCTCTGAGTGGGGTTTCAGAATATGCTGTAGGTTTGGCTAGTCACGTTTGAAGATAATTTGCTTGAATGTTTTGAGTGTGTGTGAAAAATGTGATCATCAGTATAAAACTAATGGACTACTGGAATTTTTAAAAAAGTACTTTCCCAGAACCCTTACCTTGCATTATTTTCACATGCAGGCATTTATAACCTATTTTAGGGGTTAATAGCTCATGGCATATTTTCTCTCTCCAGTATTTTTTCTGTTGTGTATTTTTAGTAATAGCGTCAAAGGGAGGACAAGGAGAATATTCAGATGAATTTATATACCTTCCGAAAGTATTTGGGAGTGGAAGGCACATTCATGCTAGTTGTGCATTCTATGGATCTTAAATATTTAACACTCCAGTTTGCATGGACATTTGATAATTGCCTCTCTGCTTTTCACAGGCCACTGAAGGACCTTGTAATACACCCAAACCAGGGGTGTTCGACTTGATCAATAAGGCCAAATGGGATGCATGGAATGCCCTTGGCAGTCTGCCCAAGGTAAATTTACTTGCTACTTTGCAATTATTTTATTTGCTATACTCCTGAAGGAAGTTGGGTGCTTCTCATTATTAAGCCATTGCAGATGGAACCTGTGAGATCTTGATGTGTTCTGTTGAGTCAGAACCTCTATTCTTTCTTCATTGGAAGGTGCTGTTTCTTAGCATTATAAGTTTCTCAAAGTGCTTACTCATTGACCATGGGCCGAAGTTATTTGTCATCTTCTTTTCAGGAAACTGCGAGGCAGAACTATGTGGATCTGGTGTCTGGTTTGAGTTCTTCTGACTCCTCCAGCCAAGTGAAACCTGAAGCAGACAGGAAACAACCAGGATATGAAACCCTGGTGGTAACCTCTGAAGACAGCATCACAAAGATCATGATGAACCGGCCAGCCAAAAAGAATGCAATTACAACTCAGGTAACGCGACCTGCCGTGAGAGTTTGTTCTGCTTTTCTGTTCTTCCCCTATTTCACTCAAAAGCTATAGTGTTTCAGCATCATTCCTATTTTTGTGATCTCTCGTTTGATTTGGTGTAGTAAGATGAGTAATGGTGGCTGCTACTTCACACAACCAAGTTGGGCATTCATTATTTAGAACTTGTTGGCTTCGGGTAGGTTCTGCATGTCCAAAAAGCACTGCAACTTTCCTAACGATGGAAGCACAAATAAATTAACATAAATGAAGTATATATTGATATAAGTGAATGTGCATAGAGATTCTCTCTAAGGTCAGGATAGACCATCCCCAGACTTTGTTCCTGTCACTTAGACTTGAGAGGGAGTACTATTCTAGTTGCATGGGGCTTTATTTTGTACAAGTAGAGGGAGAAAGGAAATAAGGCCTTCCTCTTAAATATAGCATAACCCAGCTCTGCTTAAAACGAGCTGCTTTATAAGAGCAACTTTGATCTTTGAATCTTTCATTGAACTAGAATGATAATAAAAATAACCATTTCCACCCCTTCCACTTGAAAAAATTATAGGGAATTAATTAGATGCTTTGTGCTGAACTGCAATTAAAATTTGAGAGGACTATCTATAACCTTCTTTATTGGGTTTATCATATGCTTTATAGCAGAAAGAGCACACTAACTTTAAAATAATCTTAAATAAAAATTCAATGAGGTTGGGTATGTGCCATCCAATTAGTAAAACATTTGATTCTCAAAACTTTATTTCCCTTGCCCTTCACTCAATTCTGTATAATTCTGGTGATGATTATAGCGAATAGCAGGTACTCTTCACAGTGTCAGCACTTTCCACACAGAGGTTTCTTTAGTTCCCATACAGAGCCTACTGCTATTATTACCTAACAATAAAATAATTAGGTTAAGTAGTAACTTGCTCAAATAAGCTGGAAAACCTAAATTGAAACCCTAATAGACCCATCTCATAATCCCAGCTCTTGCCAGTTACCCCATCATGCTATGTCATCATAACTGTAATAATATTGGTATTACTTCTTCATTTCCTCCCTCAATGAATATGATTTCACTTTTACTCATAAATTATGTAAAGTCTATCTTTTTTTTCAGTGTCTGCGTGTGCATAAATATCAGCCCTCTTCGTCATTCTCTCCCACCCACAGTGATGTCCCATCTGAGGTAGAAATGGCACCAGTGAATTAAAATCTATAACAACTACACATCTGAGGTTTTCAGAGATGTTGCTGATTTGAAATACTGTCCTGTTGTCTTTGGTTACCATTACAGTGTCCTGAAATCCCAGCCTTTAACACTCATTAATGCTTTTCAGACTGCCTAGGACACTTGGGCTCTTTTTTGAGGTCCTAGCTGAAAAACCGCTTCATGAAACTCTATGGCCACCTCCCCTCCCACCCATGCCAGATGCATCAGTGCTTCCTCTGAGCTTCCAGCTGCATTGTACCCTCCACCCATTGTAGAGCTTCCTGGACCCCTCCCTCCCTC